AGGGGGAGAGAGGGGAGAGAGAGGGGAGGGGGGAGAGAGGGAGGAGGGGGGATTTTTTTAAGTGTATTTTTTATTTTGCGTATTTTATTAAAGAATATCAAATGTTAAAGCCATCAAGTTCACATGATCTATTTCTTCAGGACTGAACACGGTATATGGGTTATATGCTGTACTTGCTGGGCACACTCTTCATTTATGGAGTCCTGGCATTCAATCCAGGCATTCCAGACATTATAAAGAACACGTTGCATTATGTTTGTAGATGGCTTTTAGTTTGTCTTTTAATAATATAAAGTTCATTTTGTGAATAAAGTCCATGGATGGGGAGGGAGATCTTTTCCGGGACTCTTTGCCTTAAGGTAGTTGTCCCTTAGGGGAAAGGCCGTGTGGTCTTCCAGAATTTAGGTCATTCTTTTCTAACAAAGGCTCAATCCACATGTGAATATTCTGAGTGTATTATAGGCCAAACAACTGTTTTACTCCCCCCCACACCCCACAGACAAACAGACACACGAGCGCACGCTATCCACAATCCACCCCCAGCTTCATCATCCACTTAGAAATACAGTGAAAACAACCAGGAAGCCGCACTACATGACATCTCCCTGACATGCAGAGACGGTGACATCCATTTCTCAAACCAATAATGAGGTGATATTTAAGGAGGTGGTCAAAGAGTGAAACACACAAGGAGAAGGGAATGAGCATGCACAGCTTCTTCATGCTGTAGTATGTATATGCAGCCCCCATGTTATCTATTAAGAAATTATTGTTTTATAATGGAGGAAGCACCTACTACTCGAAGATTTTTATATTTCCAGTGCTGGGACAAAAGAGCAGTCATATAGTCGTATCGCAGGCATGAGCAATGTGTAATCTTCTGTTGCAAAGGAACTAGAAGGCCCAGCATAAGTGTGCACTATACTGTCCATAGCTGTCCACGGTGCTGAATATAAACAATATACAACTCATAGCTGTCCATGGTGCTGAATATAAACAATATACAACACATTGCTGTCCATGGTGCTGAAAACAAACAATATACTGCCCTTAGCTGTCCATGGTGCTGAATAGTAACAATAGACTACCTATAGCTGTCCATGGTGCTGACAATAGACTACCTATAGCTGTCCATGGTGCGGAGCATGAACAATATACTATCCATAGCTGTCCAGGGTGCTGAATATTAACAATATAGCATCCCCACCTTATCTCCTCCCCTCTGGGTGTTGGCTGCAAGCTTCACTATGTGTCCCTTCTGATCCCCACTGCTCTCCCTTGCATCTGTCGGCAGAGGCAGCAGGGATCGGAGTAGCCACAAAGCCAATCCAGCTGCCGGCTGGAGAAGGCCGTCAAGAGGCCGAATGGAGTGGTGTAGGGGAGGAGAGAGCTGTCAGGAGGCCGAGCAGGGCGGAAAGCTCTGGCAGCAGGGGGAGGAGCTTCAAGATCGCTAAATTATGTTAAATATTGACTGATTCTTCGCTGTACAGAGTAAACACCTAATGTTCTACATCACTTCCTGTTCATTTATGAATGGGGACAGTAAATATTTAATGTTCACTTTATGAATGATCAGAAAGCAGCTCAGTACAGAGGCTTCCTGTCCATTCATGGCTCGGTTGATAGTAAATATTTATTATCTCCAGATTGTGAATGAACAGGAAGCCTCTGTACGGTGAGCTTCCTGTTCGTTGAGTGCTAGGGCTGCAGAAAAAGAGAAGGAGGACTCTGTGTCCTCAATCTCTTTTTCTATTAAAATGGAAATATCAGGGCTCTGTTAGACCCCTAATATTGCCCTAAAGCCCCTATCAGTAAAGTAAAAAAAACATTGGAAAAAAGGTCCTTTTTTGTTTCGGCCGGACAAATGTTGAAATTTCGGTTTTGGTTTGTTGCGTCCCTCTATATTACCTATTGCTGTCCATGGTGCTGTAAAGGAACAATATACTAC